TATAAAAGAGGGGAAATAAATTAGATCATTCCGTCATTTCACCACATGCAAGTCAGAAGCAAAAATACAAAACCTTGTTGATAAGACACGCCATGAGACGGAAATATTTATTGGTTTGGGACGAGGAGGTGGCGATAGGAGTTTTGAGCGGGTCAGGCAAACTCAAGCCAACTGGGTTTGAGTCAAGCCCAGCTTCATCACTAATATGGACATTATTGGACCATACTACTCATGTAATGGTTCCACATCCCACCAGATCCCCTGCCAAGTATTACGTTGCTGCCTGTGTCCTCAATGGGGAGAATTACCCCCTAACATGTCCTAGTGGCCATTATTACAGGGGCAGAAAATGGGGACAAATGCAGGAAGAGAGGAAATCTTCCAATGGGCACACCTGTTAGAATGACAACGGGATTTCCCTCGCTATTTAGATATTTCCTCTTACTTCCTGTTGCATCCTTGGGACAGGCAGTAAATGGAAATGTCCCCAACAGGACAAAGATTGCAAAAAGATAAACCGGTTTGCATTAACAACTCACCAGCTGCCTAATCTATTAATAGCTAAACTGCACCACCCCACCAAGGTGCCTACTCACCTCTTTCCGACAAAGGTGGCCTTTCTGACATGCTCCAGAAGGATAGAGGAAGGTTTGGGGGTGTTTGGGTAATGCTTCGATATACACTTTAACATAAGATACATAAATGCGTGTCCTAACATTTTTTCAAAAGACTAAACATTACCTTTAAATGCGTTAGCCTGCCTGTAACTGAATCTAATAAACCTAAGAAATAAATAAAGCTGAAATGTGAGAAGACAAACGTATACTCACTTTGTGGTTCATGATCTTCCCATATGTCTCCACTAAGGACTCGGCATAGAATGGAGTTTCTCCATACAGCATCTCATACATACAGACTCCCAGAGACCACCAGTCACACTCCGGACCGTATTTCCCCTTCCCGTCCTCCATAGCCTGGAGGATTTCAGGAGAGATATAGTCTGGTGTTCCCACCGCCACTGAGGACTGGACCTGGAAGGAGAACAGTCGTCAATACAAAAAAAAAAAATACACTATTGATGAACAGATACATCTTGGCAGGTAGGTCAGCTGTGCTTAGTCCTGATTTCCTTCTTTTGCATTGAGTGTATTTCAAAAGCACAGACAAGGCGCAACAATCGTGCAAAAGCCACCGACTAGGCTGGTGGAATCACTGCGGACTGTGAACCTGTAGGTGCTCTGTGTGTGCAACGGCCGATGCAGTGGGAGCAAAACAAGGTGCGTTCATTCACCATGCACCATCTGCTCTGCAAAATCACTCTGGAAGATCTTAAAGTGTTTCCATCTTTCTGCGAAACTTCCTATTATAAGGCAGGGCAGTGAAATAACAAACTTTGTAAATGGTCTGCATTATTTTGTCCCTTTATATTTTAAATGCATTTTAATGTGCCAACCGGGAAAAGCTTTTCTGGGTCAGTGGAGACTAGTGATGGGCTCGGGCGTGTTCGCAGCTCCACTTGCCAAGCCTGCCAGGAAGCTGACAGCGAAGAAGCGCCAATCACAGGTAATGAGACATTTTCCCGGTCCGCAGCTGCAGAGATCGGGAAATGTCTCCGTGCCTGTGATTGGAGCTGCTGCGCTGTCAGCTTCCTGGCTGGCTCGGCACGTGAAGCTGCGAACACGCCCGAGCCCATCCTTAGTGGGGACGTGTCTACCGGATGCTTGCAATGGCTCCCAATGTGTCTACAGTCTCCATAAGGCAACAAGAAGCCACTAAATATCTCTTATTGGTATAAGCATTAGGGCCTGTGTCAACGGGCTTTTGATCACGTTAAGTAGGTTCTCCATTTTCATACAAGTACATGGGAATGCTAACCCGGCTTGAAGCAGGGCAAATGCAGGTCCCAAGAAGGTCAATTGCAAGTCAAATGCACTTGTCAATACATTCTGAATAATCTCAGAAGGCCCTTAAGACTAAGCTACAGTACACGGGCCATTTTAGTATAGCACTACTAAGAGATTTAAGGGGGAACCTTGTTGCATTTAAGGTGGATGGGCTCTTGCTGTAATGTGCAAGTATTCACAGCATACTTGTACCACATGGCATATACACTCCTTTAGCGATATGTCTGCCATTCCCCTTCTCAATCCTTCCGGGTCTGCCTCTGGGCAGCCACTGATCATGTAGCTCCTGTGCATGCATGCTGGAATTACTTTGCTCTGGCACCTGGGTCTATTCCCAGCATCTGTAAGCCAGGGGTCCACCCTGAACTGCACATGCCCGGCAGGCAGCGTACACAAAGTAAAAAAATGCTAGGAGCAAGAAGTTTTTGTGTACAGCCAAAAAAACTACACCCTCAGCCTTTTTTTGGACTTTAATTCTGTTTTAACACTGCACTGGCACTGAACCCAATAAGCTTGAGCTACACAGAAAATTTCCAGTAGCTCAATCCTGATACTTGCTACGAGTAGCAAATGACCGCTAAACAAATGGAAACATGTAGTAGCAATCAATCTCACATGATCGCACAATGCTCCATGCTACTACTATTTTCTACTTATGTAGCTTACTCCATAGGAAGACATTTGTTGTATTTGTTTAGTGATCATTTGTAAGTCCTGCTTTAGAAGCAGGATTGAGCTACTAAAAAATTTTTTTGCAGCTCTAGCATAATCAGGTCACTGGCACAAAATGGTATCTCTTAGTAGCAAGAGATTAAAATTGCTCATGTAGTTCTAGCCTTTTCGGAGCAAGATTAGTAATAAAATGAATTCGAGGGCCAGCCCAACCAAAAGTGATATTGTAGTTAAAGTTCAGCCCCCCGCCTTCTTTTTTGTCTTGGATGCTGCAAAAGTGAGACCTCCCAGCAAAAATACCCAGCTCTGTTCCAGCAGGGAGACTGGGAACCCTTCATAATGGCCACAACAGGTGGGCATATTTGGGAACTCAGCTCACCAAAAGTGTCCCTGTGAGATAAAAGAAGCTGTCAAGGGGCTTAACTCTCCAGCATCCAATCAAACACTGAAATATCTGAACCTTTAAAAAGTTGATGATTTTGGTTCCCTGCCTTACAATGGCAATTCTAATCCTAAATACTAGCAGGGTGCACTGGAACACGTGGTCATCCATGGAAGTATCCTGAGCTGCAGAAGAGTATAAGGAGACATTTGGTAGGTAAGTGAGGGTGCTGTCCAAATGTTTGGGGTTTTAAAGTGGAACTTTAACCAGGCAATGGACATCCAAATATTTAAACAAAACAGTAAAAAGGCTTTAAAATAAGCATTGACCACTGATCTCTGCAGTGACAGAGACTGTGGAGCTATTCATCTTCAATTTACAATAGATGCAGAGAAGTCCTTCAGGTTTGGTCTCGACACTCTGCTTTCTCCCATCTTCATTTGTACCTACTCTGTGTTTTAGACATGTGCGATGTGTTTCGTTCTGAATCAAAATTGGGACACATCCGAATTTCCGAATCCGAATTTCTGTTTCTGAATTTCGCTCGCCAACTAAACTGAATTGGACATGTGACTTTTCTGGCCAATCAGATGTGTTTTTCGGTTTAATGCACCCAAATGGGTGTGAACATGAATTTTCATTATAGCAACATGGGAGCCATATACAGTATATACATATAATACTAAAGCTGAGGCTCCTAGACCCGAATGGCATTCGGGAGCTCCCAAATGCCGTTCGGATCTGGGAGCCGTATACATATATTACTAAAGCTAATGCTCCCCGACCCAAATGGCATTTAGGAGCTCCTGAATGCAATTTGGAAATTCGGATCCCGAATGCCCTTTGGGTCTGGGAGCCTACTTAAACTCATCAGAAAATAACAAAATAGGAATTCGTCCGAATCTGAAACCCGAACCGAATTTCAGATCCAAATCCGAACAGAACTTTTCCGCAGCTTACATATCTACTGTGTTTACTTTAGAGATTAAAATGTTGTTACACCAACAATTCACTACTGATCTAGAGAAGAAAGTAAAAGTAAGTAGTTTTCACTGCAAACTTTGGGAATGAATTGCTCCACATTGGTTTCAGCTATGGAGGTCAGGGAATTTACTGCTTGTTAAGAATATATAAATATTTGACTGTCCACAGCACGGCCACAGGTTCACTTTAAGTCCTAATCCTCAACCACTCAAGGGACCTGTCCTCCTCCTGCTTGGGTGTCAGAGCCTTACCCCTGATTCTACAGGACTGACACCTAGTGGCGGTAGATGAAGTTGCAAGCTGGTGGGTTAAATACAATCCAAAGCAGAACTTTAAATCGTAAAAAGTTAAGGGTCAATAACACCTTGCCCATTCCCCCCACCCATTCTACCAGGCTTCTCTGGCATTTGTATATCTGACTTAACACTGGCAATACTTTAGACAATAACTTCAAGCTTGGAAACTAAGAGCGTCAAACACAAGTAGAGCACAAACGAGTGGATGTGAATTATACTAACATCAGTATTTGTGGGCACTGGACAAAAAGCCACAAGTTCCTATCAAAGTAGAACAAATATCCATTAATGGTGGAAAAGAGCTCGTTTATCATTGACAACCTAAAATACATTCCGTTACTTTAATCCAACGCAACCACTCAGTCCTCAGTCCATAAGGTATGGCCAGCACCGGTACCCAGCCGGACATCGGATATGATCATCTAAAGATACCATAACTATATCACACATATTAGTTTTCAGGCACATGTTACATAACAAGCTTGATTATTCATCAAGGACATCCTTTAAGAGCCATTTCCAAACTGGACAAACATCCATTTACAGTAACAATGTATATATTATTTGTATATTTTATGTACAATATATAGTCACTGAACATCAAAAAAACATATTGAATTGTACATGAACAATTCTGAAATCTGCATAAATGCATCAACGCATTTCACTTCTTCAGCCCCAAAGAAGCAGCCGTTGTCTATGAAACACGTCAGCATCAGTTTATGCATTTTACTATATGTAGATGCTTGTTCAGATATTTTTAATAACTTTAACTTAATATATTTCTATGACTTTTATCAGAAGGGTTGTGTAGCCTTGAAAACTGTGGCAAAAAAAGTCACAATAATGTGTACAATATACTAAAAATAGAAGGAAAGGGCATCTATGCCAATCTCTTTTTGTCTAGTTTTGGATATGGTGGGAAAGGGTTTGGACCCCTGACAAGTTTTTATTGGTTTCTGTATCCTCGCTGGGGAAATGTTATCATCTCTACTTGTCCTGAGGATCATTCTCACCGAGACAGGAAGTGAAGGGAAATAAAACCTTTTACAGATAATACCAGAACAGGAGATGAGGGAAAATCCTCCAATGGGGACACTTGTCCAAGAGGGAATTCTTGTTTTTATAACTGTCTAAGAGGGAATTTCCCCTCACTTTGGATAGATTTTCTTTTACTTCCTGCTACAGGAAGTAAAAGAAAATCTAAATCCAATCCCCGGGCCTTAGTCATGAGCTATGACCAAGGCCCAGGGTTTGGTCTGAAACGCGTAAGCTAGTTTGTGGTTTTTATGCCGAATTAAAAGTGATATTTGGAGAAGATTCCTGTCCGTTTGCTCGTGTTTTAGCATCATGGACTGACAAGGTGGAGCAAGAACCTTTGCTGTGCACCCGGGTCCCAGCAGGCAAGCTGAGTGGACGGGGGGGAGGAGGGAGGGGGAGGTCTGAGCTGGTTTCTAAATCAAATGGATTCACTAAAAACAGCATCACGCAGACTAATGAGGAGCGGGCAGCAGTGTTAGCCAAGCAGGGCTCTACTGCATTGCCCAGTGCTGCTCATCTAACACCCTGGGGAGGAGTAGAGAGCAGCGTAATGACCTCAACATTGCTCCTTCATTGTCCAATCACAAGCTGTGGTAGTTCACCTGCGGATTGCAGCTTTAAACTGCAAAAATAAAACAATCCCTGTAGATCTATGGGGACAGCTGAAAGCACGGGGTCACTTACTGTTCCATCTTCCATTAGCTTCAAGCAGGAGCCGAAATCTGCCAGCCGGATGTGTCCGTTCATGTCCAGGAGAATGTTGTCGGGTTTAATGTCCCTGGAGAGAAAAACACAAAAATAAACCAGAACTTTAAAAGGCTTAAAACGGACCGGACGCCCAATTTTTATATTTTATCAAGGGGGGGGGGTCACTAAAAGACTCTGATAGGGAAAGCGCATTACAATCTGGTTATACAATCTCTTTTCTATGCATCCATACTATGCAGTGTGACGGCTTATCTACCTGCATTCAATTTGTAGTCCCATACAAATATCTCTATATGTTCGGAGAGAAGGAGATAGTAGAATCAGATTCTAACGTGTATTGTCAGCTTTAGCTGTGCCCAAAGCTGAGCCGAATGTGCAGGAGGAGTGGCCGCCATGGAAGACGTTTTTATACAACTTTTTGGCCATGGTAACCAACCAGATCCTCTCATCATTGCAGCACAGAATGGAGGAATGAGTGAGAAGACTATTGGATGATCAGGGCAAAGTAAACGGCACTGGGAAGGATTGAGCCTGGCTGCACCGTGCACGGCATGGCTCGTACTGTCAATACAAGCCACATGGGGAACAATCTAGCAGCTATCTAGCAGTCACACGGGGTGGCATTGTAGAAAACCACACATGGTGTAGAGCCCATTCAGTGATTGTACTATTCCAGCGCTGGGATTCCTCCTTCCCCGCTGAGCCTCCCGTACAGAGCGTCGCCTATAGAAAAACCACTGGCGTCAGCAGATGTGTGGAGGGAAAACACAAAGAGACCGGCCAGGCCGAGTCCATCACAGCATAATAAGCGTCAGGCAGCTGGAAGGAGACCAATGTCAGAATTTCGGCATTTATTTAAGGCCAACTACATCCAAAACGGACTTATCAATTTTGGGTGGCACACCACATGTAATCATATCACATACGATTACATCCAGTGCAGCGGCCTTCAAATGCAGCGGCTTTCACCCGATCATTAAAGAACTCCAGGAAAACCCTTTCTTACAAAGGAGCAGTTATCCCTTGCAGTGCAGAGGTAGTACCACTGCAAGGGTTAATACATTTTTTACCTGGAGTTCTTCTTTAACTTGAACGCGTGGCTGCCAATTGTAAACAGTAGATTAGGGATACCTGCTGCATGAAATCGCAAGTTCCTGATGCAGGAACCCCTAATCGCACCTAAAATATAGGTGTGAATGGAGGCTTGGTGCCTAGATATCGCACAGTGCTTTAATGCGCCTTTAAAAAAATTGTGCTGCGATGGTCCCCACAGGACGTGACCCAGACAACACGCCCGGGACCCGCCGGTGAATTTGAACACGCGTCCCGCCACAGGGGGAATATTAGCCATTAACTTTTTTAATTAGCTGACTCAGAATTTCTTCGGTTGAGGAAAAAAAATCTCCAAGCGTTCCTACGAATGTCTCTATCTTTATTTATTTTTAATCGTTTCCTGCTACTAGTTGTGAAAACTAAAATGAGTTACAATTACCAGGCTGGTTCATAAAAAAAAGGACCTACATAGTAAATTTGTAATAACAGCTGTTCTTTGTCCAGACTGGGCATGTACGGCGGCATGTAAGCACCTTTACTTGTGAACAAAGAACTATGAAGAGTGATACTCTGCCAGTTGCATCATGAGGCATGGGAAGTGAGACTCCAGATAGGAGATTGTAATCAGGAACTATGGCAGGAACATCCAGTCATCAGAGTTCCAGAGAGATGACAGTGACTAAATCCAACTGGCTGGCATTAACCACAATCTACAAAAAGAGCGTTAGGCGGACAGGCCGTCTGAAATACTGGAACTGGCAATCAATGGCAGGAAAAAGGAATACAATTTTACAGACGTTTATGGTTTTGCACAGATTGTTTTGCGGACAACCCTAATTATCCTGTCTGAGTCCGGGTCCGTTCTCTGACCTCTGCACCGCGGACTCGGAAAAATGTTTCAGCTTCCGTAGCTTGTGCTGCCAATTCAAATACACAGAACTAATTTACTGAACTATGAAAGGGAGAGAGAGCGTTTGCTGCTAGGAGCCAATGAAAATGCAGAGATTGCTCTACAGCGGATCAGGATTTAGACACAGATGCAGTGAAGGTGGGAGAGAGGGCAGACAGGCCCTGATTCACCAAACTTCAAACAGCGCTACCTGTTGATCCTGCCAGAATTCCACCTGATCGGGGCCGATCAGGTGAATGTATCTTCTTTATTCCATATTAGACAAAACGAGCACCTAACCCTTGCAATGTGGGGTAAGCCCCTATGTTAAAGAAGAATGGAAGTGACAAGTTCCCTTTAAGGAGACATTAGGGGTCTATCAGACTGACAACCTGCTAGACAAATGTGAACAAACTCCTTGTCTCTATAGCAGCCGGGAGTCCGTTTACAGATGTAAGCATCTCCGATAATATTATCAGGTTATTTTAGCAAACCGTAAAGGGTTAAGTACAAAAACCACATGCAGTATATCTCTGCAATACATTCACATTCCCCTACGTTTTGTCTCTGCTGCAAGTCCAGAAGTATACCTCCTAATCTGGCAGCAGGCTTGTGAGTAAGCCCCTTCAGGTGTGAACGTTTTGTAGCGCGTTCTATGCTCGACGAACGCTCTACAAAACGCTCAAAAATATAAATCCCATTGTATTCAATGGTCTCGTTCCCACCTTGGCGTATTTCCGCCCGTCCCTAACGCGCTACAAAACGGCCCACGCCTGAAAAGGTACATGTACTACTTTGGGCCGTTTTGTTGTGCGTTTCCATTGGGATACAGCCAAGTAGCCTTCGGAAACGCGCGATGGTCGCGCAACTTTTTACCGCGAATCGCGACAGACGCGCATATGCAATACGCCTAGGTGTGAACGAGACCTTAGTGAGCACTTTGCAGCATTATCCCAAGCAGTGAAGTCAGTGCTGTCCTCTCTGCTCTGTAAACTACTGAACAATCCCCCCCCCTTACCTTATGGAGATGGGAAGAAGGGGGTGTTTTGTAGTCCTGCCCTTGGGTGACAACACTGCTTTTTCAAGGCTAAAAATTGCAGCCGCCACATTTAAAGAGTGGTAAGTTGCAATTTGCGTTTAAGTTTCTTGAAAAGGCAAACAATAATTATTAATAATAATCATAATACAAATAAGAAGAATCATAATAATATGATTGATTTAATGAGAAACACAATTTGGACGTTCTGCATCGTGTCTGCACGTCTATTAATCAGCACAGCGCTCCCATGGTAAAGGAGAGTCTCATTTGGCGGCTGAATTGCTTGCAGGCCTCTGTGTCACCAAGAGGATGTGACCAGATCTCTGCTGGAGGATCCAAGGGAACGGACGCCGCTTGCCGCCATCCTGCGGACTGAACACGTCACCCCATTGCAGCGTGCAAATCATAAGCCTTGACTGCGTCCCCTGAGAAAACACGGAGTGTATTTATAGCTGCCGGCACATCCAGATGGTTGGTACCAATTAACCAGAAAAGCGACTCGCTTTTGTGATTATTTACAGTGGCAGCACTTGGACGGCACATGCAGGCACGCAGAGACGCAGGGAGTCAGGGAGTCCTCTGCACAAGTTTTCTTCTTACAGCAAGATTAAACTATAACTCCGGGCAAAACAGCTGAATACACAGATAAACTACATATAAGGGAGCTGTTTTACCTGCACCTCCAGGATCCCTCTTCCTACACTGCTCAGCTCTGCACCTCCAGGATCCCTCTTCCTACACTGGTCACCTCTGCACCTCCAGGATCCCTCATCCTACACTGGTCACCTCTGCACCTCCAGGATCCCTCGTCCTACACTGCTCCGCTCTGCACCTCCAGGATCCCTCTTCCTACACTGCTCACCACTGCACCTCCAGGATCTCTCATCCTACACTGCTCACCTCTGCACCTCCAGGATCCCCCTTCCTACACTGCTCACCTCTCCACCTCCAGGATCCCTCTTCCTACCCTGCTCACCTCTGCACCTCCAGGATCTCTCTCCCTACAATGCTCACCTCTGCCCCTCCAGGATCCCCCTTCCTACACTGCTCACCTCTCCACCTCCAGGATCCCTCTTCCTACCCTGCTCACCTCTGCACCTCCAGGATCTCTCTCCCTACAATGCTCACCTCTGCCCCTCCAGGATCCCCCTTCCTACACTGCTCACCTCTCCACCTCCAGGATCCCTCTTCCTACCCTGCTCACCTCTGCACCTCCAGGATCTCTCTCCCTACAATGCTCACCTCTGCCCCTCCAGGATCCCCCTTCCTACACTGCTCACCTCTCCACCTCCAGGATCCCTCTTCCTACCCTGCTCACCTCTGCACCTCCAGGATCTCTCTCCCTACAATGCTCACCTCTGCCCCTCCAGGATCCCCCTTCCTACACTGCTCACCTCTCCACCTCCAGGATCCCTCTTCCTACCCTGCTCACCTCTGCACCTCCAGGATCTCTCTCCCTACAATGCTCACCTCTGCCCCTCCAGGATCCCCCTTCCTACACTGCTCACCTCTCCACCTCCAGGATCCCTCTTCCTACCCTGCTCACCTCTGCACCTCCAGGATCTCTCTCCCTACAATGCTCACCTCTGCCCCTCCAGGATCCCCCTTCCTACACTGCTCACCTCTCCACCTCCAGGATCCCTCTTCCTACCCTGCTCACCTCTGCACCTCCAGGATCTCTCTCCCTACAATGCTCACCTCTGCCCCTCCAGGATCCCCCTTCCTACACTGCTCACCTCTCCACCTCCAGGATCCCTCTTCCTACCCTGCTCACCTCTGCACCTCCAGGATCTCTCTCCCTACAATGCTCACCTCTGCCCCTCCAGGATCCCCCTTCCTACACTGCTCACCTCTCCACCTCCAGGATCCCTCTTCCTACCCTGCTCACCTCTGCACCTCCAGGATCTCTCTCCCTACAATGCTCACCTCTGCCCCTCCAGGATCCCCCTTCCTACACTGCTCACCTCTCCACCTCCAGGATCCCTCTTCCTACCCTGCTCACCTCTGCACCTCCAGGATCTCTCTCCCTACAATGCTCACCTCTGCCCCTCCAGGATCCCCCTTCCTACACTGCTCACCTCTCCACCTC